ATATTTGGCATAAGTTTCCTTTCATTAGTCATTTTGGGTCTCGGGTTTCCACGTGGCCTTTTAAGCCATGTGGAATCTAGAGAGGCAGAGGGCAATATTCACTATCTATGTTTCTAAAAGATATTGTTTTTCCCAGCATGGCCAGGAGGCAGAGCTGAGATAACAAGGAGATACATTGACCTAGAGACAGTTTTAGGTAAAAGGTTTGAATCAAATTTAGAAAATACATATTTATGGTTTCTCAGCCAAAAACTTGGTGTATTAGATTTATACCTTTGTCAGTTAGTGCTAAGACTTATGCGATATTTGGTGTAAGTTCCCTTTTATTAGCCATTTTGGGTCCCGGGTTTTCACGTGGCATTTGAAGCCATGTGGAATCTAGAGAGGCAGAGGGAAATATTCACTATATATGTCTCTAAAAGATATTGTTTTTTCCAGCATGTCCAGGAGGCAGAGCTGAGATAACAAGGAGACACATTGACCTAGAGACAGTTTTAGGTAAAAGGTTTGAATCAAATTTTGAAAATATATTTATCAAAACTTTAGAAAATTTAAATCACATGAACTTAAAAAATATACTTATTTATTTAATGAGTGTGCATTAATTATGAGCCATTTAGGTACCTTGCACATAAAACAATTACATAAACAGACATGAACATATAGACATGACATACAGCTTACGCACGCATATATGCAGACATAAACAACAAGAACAAACAAGGGATCTTATAAGTTTTGTTTAAGATGTAAATAAATCTTACTAGTAAAGAAGACAGTCAGGTTTAGATCGTGTGTTTTTTTGTTTTTTGTTTTTTGTTTTCTTCCCAAAAGACTTACTGGTGAGGCCTCACCCTGCCTTAAAGAAAGCAAGATAACAAATTTACATTGTAAAGCAAATTATGCAAGCCTTTTCAAGAAGTTGGAGAGATTTTCTTCCTTTTAAGAAAGTAGCATAGCATCATGCAGATAAGAAAGAAAAACATGATCAAACTTGATGGAGAGATTTTCTTCCTTTTAAGAAAGTAGCATAAAATTTTACTATAAAATTTTGTGAAAAAATTACATAAATGAGACTAAACGAGAATTTAGAAGTCTGTTTAAAATGCCAAGTGGATGCGAAAAAATTTGAGATCATCTAATTAAACAGGTAAATCTTAGGCTATTTTTTTGATTCTCAAATGAGTTACTGAGCTCTAGAGCTGAGCCAACAATTAGAAATGAAATCATTTGACTCTTGATGTTTTAAGTAGAAGAGCAGGAGACCCAAAAGGGGTCTGTTTGGCCATGGCTGCTTTTCTCCATAAAACTCCAGAGTCTTCAGATAGCACATGCAGTAAGAACCACTGCTTTTAAGAGAGGAAAGAAGCATCATGCAGATAAGAAAGAAAAACATGATCAAACTTGAATTCTTTCTGGAGCCACCTTAAAGCCAAGAAAACTGCAAATCAAAAATCAATTGAATAAAAGCAAGGGGGCCTTCTACCACCGATAAGGCCAGAATAATTGCATAAAAGTTTTTGAGGGGTGGACTTTATTCCTTGATAAGGGGGAAAGATCACAACAGAGGCCCCCAATCTACCTCCATCAGTGAATATGGTGGAGCTCCCCTAGCGTCAGGCTTGTGAGGCCGGGGTGGAAAGCACAAAGCTGAAATGGTGGGAAAGACCCCAAGGGGAGGGATTTCCCCCCGGTTCACCTGGGCCTTACGAACTAGCTGTTCTACGTGGTCCCATGTATCCCAGTCAAACAAGGGACTCTCCGGAAGCCAGGGGGCTACCTTAAGTGGCAAGCCCCCAGCTTTTAAGAAGCACGCGGAAAGAAAAGAATAAACTGTATAGCTCTTTAATCCAGCGAGTAAAGCTGGATTGGGATTAGAGGAAGAAGACTGCCCCATATCTTATGGGGGTACACTCACCCAAAGACCGATTGGCCCGTCAGCGAAGCGTCCGAGGAGCAGCAATTCCTCACACGGGGCACCAGTTTGTTGGTTCCTCGCCACCGGGGACCAACAACACAGGGTGGGAAGGGACCCCGGACCAGCCGGTGGTAACCTCTTGTGGGGCTGAGCGGGATGATGAGTGTTGCAGGCCCGATCCCCTCTGCAGTTCGGACCCG